AGTTAGTCGAAATCACAAAATTGTTCATTACACTGCTTAACCCCTTTTTCTGTTCAAAACATTGCGTGAAACACTGTTGACAGTTTTTTTTTTTAGCAATTTCAGCTCTACATAAATCTTAATCTTCAAGAAATGGTGGATAAATATTTTAGAAGAAAATTGAAAATTCCCAGTTGAAAATTCCTCGCTTCAGGGAATTTTTAAATAACCAGATCGAAAAGGAAATGATTAACAAAAATAATGATCAGATTGAAATACTGTACACGCAAAATCTTGCCACTGAAAATGCCTCTCGGGACCCAGAAGAGAATTTCTTATATACAGAAATTCCTTTTGGGAAAGAGTGACATTTCCCAAATAAATTTGCAACATTTTTTTATTGACAAAATCTCAAATCTTCCACTCAAACTACATTTTTCCAAGCAGAAAAAATCATCATAGGACAGATGACTTGTCCCAAAGGTACCAAGTCACTTCCAAGACAGGAAAAAAAATGCTTCAGCCCGAAGAATACTTTTTTCAGCAAAAATTTTCTGCATATGCCTAAAAAATTGCCAAGATTTTCCCTGACAGCACTGCATTTTTAAATACCAGCCCCAGGAGTAATTAAACTAACTTTTGCAAATAAGTGTGGTTTTGCCACCCTTGTTGGAAATAAGATTCAGTAACTATTGAAGTTGAGGAAGATTGGCTCAAAGAAAGATAGCTGAGGAAAATGTGGAGAAATGACTAATCCGTTTGGAATTCCATGGGACCAAGTTTGACCTTGAGTTCCCACAAGGCCAGGGTCTTCTGCATCCTCAGGGATTTCCTGAGACAAATCAGTCCCCAGGGACAACTTTTGCCAGGAAAAAAGGTTTTGAATATGGGATTTGTTCATGTATGATAATCAGTTGCTTTTTGGCAGTCTCATGCAATAGACATCCAAGTTCTTGTTGCAATAAAATTGTGCTTTGTATCCAAAAACATACCAACCTTACACTAGGGACGTGTTAAAGCACCCGCGCTGCAGCCTGACTGATTATTGTCTTCTTTATTTCTCTTGAGCAAAGGTTCAGAAACTCAAAAATCCTAATTGCAAAACCTACAATTCCCAACAACCCTAGGGTTAATCTATTGACTTATAGGACTTCCTGGTCCTGTCCCAGACTGATTGTGCTGGTGTTTTATTGCAACACTTGACATTAACTTGTTATCAGTGGAAATTATATGATAATTTCCCGATATATTTTGTAAGAATATTTGCTGTCAAGCAAATATAGATACTTGGTGTTATTCATAACACCAGGAAGAGATGATAGATTAATATATAAAAGGTATTAATATCCTTCCATCCCAGTACACGTGGACTGACAGACACAGACTGACAGACACGTGCATGGACCCCCAACAACTGACAGACATGCGCACAGACCCCCAACGACAGCGCATGGCAACCCCCTAACTGCGCAGAATCCCTGGCGCATGGAAGTTCTTAAACAACACCTGCAAACGTGCACACAGGTGTCCTACTCCCCTTCTGAATGTACCCCCAAATCCTGTGGTATATAAACCCCTGGCAGGATTAAGGAAGATAGGCATTTTAGTTCAGGAGACAGTACAGTTCAGAAGTCATCAGATCCCTGTGTCTTGTGGTTAATCAAATACCCTGTGTATACTGCACATTTGAATAAAGACTATTTTTGTCTGGCAAAGACTATTAGTACTTAATCATTTCCAAACCTCAATTAAAAGGAGATGCACTTACATCTCTACGTTTCCAGGGATAACAAACTTATATTGCAGTGATAACTGTCCCCAATATAAATTGGTAGCAGAGCATGGTTTTGATCCACAGACCTCTGGGTTAATTTATATTGGGAACAGATTGTCACTGCGATAAAAGTGTTCAGCAACAAAAGATATGGAAAGGAAATGATTCTTCCTCAAATGATCCTGAACCATCAGGACACCCCATTGATTTTCAGAAAACCAAAGGGGGGCGTGGGCGTTTCTGAATTCGCCAAGGAAAAATCCAGCCCCGAAATAATAAGAGCACAAAACAGTCTGAGCACGTCTTCGTTTGGTACGTGGGTCACGCATTGATAGTCGAGAGTGAAATGAGTCGCTTAAAATTCCCGCACTTCAGTTCCTTCTCTATCTCTTTTTTTCTCTTTCCCGTTGATCCTTCACAATATTAACTTCCTTGACACCAAAACGATGTTCAGAAAGTTATTCGTCCGTTTCGTTCATCACTTTCACGCCTGCTTAAGTGGCCGGGGAAATCCGCTGGTGGAAAAAAACACATCGTGACTTTTATCTGGGATTTCGAACCGCAATCAAATATCGATAAAAATTACCGGACAATTTGCTCGACAATTTATTTTTCTACATGAATATATACTAGAAATGAGCTGCGTGAGCTTTAAAAACAAAGGAAAATTTGAACTTCCAGCACGTAATCATGCAGTTCCACTGAAAATGTCGTATGGGACCAAGAAAAAAATGCTTTCTAAAATATTGTGATTCCTTCTGAGAAACTCACATATTCTCAAAAAAAGTATTACCGCAGATTTTTGTCGACCAAATCCCAATATCTTCGTGCAAATTAAATTTAACAAGCAGAATGGAAAATTTTGGTCGCAGGAGTAACGGGATTTTTCCCGAACAAAAAATGCAGGTCTTGAATTCAAAAATTCGGATCTTTCACGTGGGAAAACTTTTATTTGGGATTTGGAACCGAAATAAAAAAAATAGATAAAATTTGCTCGATTTTTTTTACATGAATATATTGTATATGCGAAAAATGAGCTGCTTCAGCTTTTTCAAGAATGGGAAATTTTTAACTTTTTACGCTATCATGCGTTTCCACTGAAAATTTAAAGAGACCAAGAAAAAAATGCCTTCATAGAATATTGAGATTCCTTCTGAGAAATATATATTGTAAAATTGTCTCCAGAAATGTCATGGCTTCTTTTTTCGACCAAATCAGCATATTAAATTTTCAAAGCCGACTGAAAATTTTTTATCGCAGAAGTAAAAGGATTTTTACGGTAGATCACATTTTTCATCTCCAAATCAGTTTTTCATTGACATCTTGATTCAAGAATCTGAGACTTTCATCTGGGGAGACTTTTATTCGGGATTTCGAACCGCAATAAAACAAAATTAGGGAAGCTTTTCTCGAACTATTCTTTTTACGTGAATGTGCCCGCAAAACGAGCAGCGTAACCTTTTACACGAATGGGAAAATTTGAACTTTTTACGTAATCATGCGGTTCCGACTTTCATTCCATTCTCATTGTGAACGGCGCGCGGAGAACAATGGCAAATTGCGGTGGTGTGTGGTTTCAGCATTCCGGAGATAATTTTAATTGGCGCCTTTTAAATGGAACAAAAGAACGGAAGTTTCACTCAAGCGTTGGAAACTACTGTGAGACAAACAGACGACGCGCCATCATCAAACGAAGACCCAGTACAGTATTTCGACAATTACCTTCCTCCTTCAGAAAATGGTCCTCCAATTTCATCCGCAATCGAAAATAATTACGCCAATATAAAAGGCCGTTCTTTATAAGGAGCGATTTCCGTTCGTTCTACTCTTATTGATTTACACTGCTTTCGTAAATGCCAGGCAGATGTCACCCGATTATCTCCCTCAACCGAACGTCATAAACAGAAGCGAACGTTTGTGCGTAAATTTTGCGAAGGAGAAAATCGGAGGATTAAGAAATTTCGAAATTGAAGTGGAAAGAAGAAACTTCGTCAAATTCTGGATCGAACAGACTTTGAAATACTCTTGTACATGACTAATGAAAAGAGGAAATATCGTGTTGACATCCGAAGTCACTTATTATAGAGCACAGAAAATCACCATTCGAAGTTTCAGTGAAATTAACAATTTCCCGAATGCGAATGATTCTGAAGCATGATCCTAATTTTATTTACAGGAAATAGCTAATAATTTATTAAGTTTAAAATGTACAGTATTATCATGATCTGTGTGATGGAAATGCGCCTTTTAAAAATGGTCGATGATGTGAAATACTCGCATCTTCCAGAAGTAAATCCTTGCTGAAGTAGCAGAACAAATGAAAAGTGGAAAAATTCCACTGACACTCCAGCATCATTTACAGCAAAGAAAATCACCATTCGAAGATTCTGTGAAATGAAATAACTTATTTAATGCGAAGTGGAAAATACCGTTCACGGAATTTTCCACAAGACTTCGAAGCAGGATTTTAACATTTTTTTTTAAGGACATACCCAAGAATTTTGCACATTTAAAATAAATCATCGTAATCGATGCAATATAAATGCGTGCTTTTAAAAATGGTCAATCATGCGGAATATAATCGCACCTTTCACAATATAAATCCTGAAGTAGCTAATTTCTTTTTCAAAGGACATACTGTAACAAAGAATTTCGTCATTTAAAATGAATCATCGTAATTCAATGTGATAGAAATGCGTCTTTTAAAATGGTCATTCATGCAAAATACTCGGTTCTTCTAAAGATAAATCCACGCTGAAGCAGCCTAATATTTTTTCAAGGACATGCTCCAGAATTGCGTCGGTTTGAAATGAATCATCGTGATCAATGTGCCAGAAAATGGTGCTTTTAAAAAAGGTCAATCATGCGAAATACTCGTATTTCCTGAAGGTAAATCCTCGCTGAAGTACCAGCGATGTGAACTCACTTCCATTCCATGTGAGCTCATGCATGCAATTGCGACAGCTTCGAAAGAACAAAAAATATTCACTGGACAATAAACCGCAGGAAGCATTCCGGATGCATACTGTACTTGACAAGAAAGAAAGAAAGAAAGAAAAAAGCCCAGAAAAAATACTCCAAAGTGGTTCCTGTGCAATAAAGAGACTCAAAACTGGTCAAGAATAAAAACGACGAGACACCGGCCCACAGGGTATACACAGTACAGTAAAAAGAAACGAAAAACAGGAAGACACACGAACACAACAAAAAAAAGAGATGCGCTTCTTCTTCCTTCTTAATTTTTTTTTTATCCCACCATGTCTCGTTTCCGCCCGCGACTCCGCACTTCACGCAACACCGGAAACGTGGACTCGCCTCCGGGAAACACTTCCTTGTATCTCGCGAACACGGCTTTCAAAAAGTCTTGACTGATTCCCGGATGCGCACTCGTCACTGCTCGCTCAAGCACGTACAAGTCAACTGCTCGTTCCATCGGGGCAGTCGACGCTTCGGAGAGACCGAAATCGATGATGTAAAGGCGTTGATCCGGATCCAGCAACAGGTTCGACGTGGTCAGGTCCCCGTGGATAATCCCGTGGCGATGCAGGAGACCCACGATTTCACCCACGGAAGACCCCAGGTCGGATACGCTAGCAGTCCGGGTTTCTATGACGGAGGACATGGTTCGGGCTTCCGGGATTTCTTCGAGAAAGAGAACGTTTCGCTCGAGGTCCAGAAAAAGCACCGCTGGCGCCAAAATTCCTGAAAATTAAGATAAAAAATAAAGATCAAACACCTGCATATTGAAAAAAAATTACCGCTGGCGCCAAAGATCCTAAAAATTAAAATACAACAAAGTGCCATCATTAATTTGTCCTTTGAACATTTTGCAGCACTAAAGCAGGGATTCTATATAACAGCGGAAAATTTAGACTGGTTTGCATAATTTTTAGGCAAGTAAGTCTGTTCTATTAAAGAGCAATTAACAGGAAATAATTTAGAGGCACAAATGCACTGTTTCTTCGACATTTCAATTCATGTAAATGTACAGTATTAGTACAGAATATAATACATTTTTCCACATATTTGGTCAAGTTAAAGAGCAAAACTGTTTCTTGCAGTTTTGTATCAACCTTTCCAAGAAGAACACAAATCAAAGATCAGGTAGAGTGATTTTCAAAAAAAATTGTAAGAGGCTATATCCCAGATATTGAGAAGCTATTTGCTGTGGAGGACGTCCAAAGAAAGCCACCCAATTACACATTAATTCAGCAATAGAATTTTAAAAATCATCCCGAGCATGGGCATGTGATTCTCAGTAATATCCTACCAATATTCTCAGAAAAAGGCCTTCATTTATTCAATTTTGGCCTATTTTTCATTCCGGACAGGAAATTTGTTGAGGCACTAAATTTGAGAACACAATGGCGGGATATTTGTTCCAAGAAATTTGTGGAACTATGCGGGGGTGGCACTAAATAAAGGTAAACCCGTTTAATATTTCCGTTACTAAAATTGTTTCCATGCAAGAAAAACTCGGACAGTACTTTTCTGGAAAAAAAGGAGATCAATTTGGTACGTTACAATTTTATCCAGTCAATCGCGGTCAGAGTTTCCATTTTGTCGTCGATTATCTCATCTAATACAAACGAAAAATTGTACGTCAGCCGTCGAAAATAACTCCTCCATGTGCTTCAGGGCATGAAAATTTGGAGGCGACAAGTTAAAGAAGAGGTAAATTATACCCCCTGTTACATGGTGCAAAAGCATGTTGTAACCGGAACCATTATAGTAACTGGATCGTTGATCACCTCATCAACCATTGTAAAAAATAAAATAAAATTGTATGGAGTATATTATTGCATATATAGGAACCGTGAACCGTTCACATCAGTACACTTTCAGGCATGCGGTTCGATGGACTTCGTCAAAAATTAAGCAACACAAGGTTAACATCTTTTTTTTTTTGCTTTTTCTCCATATTTCGATTTCGCAACTTCGCATGCTGCGATCCAACTCGACGTTTTCCTGCTGATATACAAAGGCCGCTTCAGTTTAGTCTACAGTACAGTGATCATGAACAATTAAATTTTAAACATTAGTTTTGAATCACAATCCTTGAGCATTCAGGTCTTCATACACATTTGTAAACAAATTATTCCAACATTCGTCCTCTTGTATTGTAGTTACGATACAAAGGGTGTCCTGTTTCCACGCGCATTTAAATTTCCCACTTTTCCGAAAAGATTTTCAAGCGAAGTGAAGCAGATTGAACATGATCAGATCACTCGCCCCGAAAGAATGTCTGAGTAATTTCCGACATTTTAAATTGCTTTACTTTCCCTATAAAGCCCAATTTTGTGCTCATGGATAGTTGCCATTCCATCAGGGACGCCAGCATTAACCCTTCCACCCACGCGTGACTTGAAATTTAATGATTGTCTAAAACAATTTTCAGCAAGGTTCATTGCAGCCAAGAACCTCGGAAATTATAGACACAAACCCTTCTTCGATAACGCCTGCATGTCGCCAATGGTTTGAAAGGAATAGTTAAAAATTTGAAGAGGAATTGAGTGGAAAAATAGAAGAGGTAAATTATACCCCCTGTTACATGGTGCAAAAGCATGTTGTAACCGGAACCATTATAGTAACTGGATCGTTGATCACCTCATCAACCATTGTAAAAAATAAAATAAAATTGTATGGAGTACATTATTGCATATATAGGAACCGTGAACCGTTCACATCAGTACACTTTCAGGCATGCGGTTCGATGGACTTCGTCAAAAATTAAGCAACACAAGGTTAAAAACGTTTTTTTGTTGTTCTCCAAATTCCGATTTCGCAACTTAGCATGCTGCGATCCAACTCGATGTTTTCGTGCTGATATACACATGCCGCTTCAGTTGAATGTACAGTACAGTGATCATGAACAATTAAATTTTAAACATTAGTTTTGAATCACAATCCTTGAGCATTCAGGTCTTCATATACATTAGTAAAAATTTATTCCAGCATTCGTCCTCTTGTATTGTAGTTACAATACGAAGGGTGTCCTGTTTCCACGCACATTTAAATTTTGTCCTGTTTCCACGCGCATTTAAATTTCCCACTTTTCCGAAAAGATTTTCAAGCGAAGTGAAGCAGATTGAACATGATCAGATCGATCACTCGCCCCGAAAGAATGTCTGAGTAATTTCCGACATTTTAAATTGCTTTACTTTACCTATAAAGCCAAACTTTGTTCTCATGGATAGTTGCCATTCCATCAGGGACGCCAGCATTAACCCTTCCACCCACGCGTGACTTGAAATTTAATGATTTCTAAAACAATTTCCAGCAAGGTTCATTGCAGCCAAGAACCTCGGAAATTATAGACACAAACCCTTCTTCGATAACGCCTGCATGTCGCCAATGGTTTGAAAGGAATAGTTAAAAATTTGAAGAGGAATTGAGTGGAAAAATATCTCGTCGAGTTCCGGGTGGCGGTATTTCTTGGGAAATCGCTCCTTGGCCAAACACTTCATTCCGAACAATGTTCCACTCCAAAGCTTCGCTTCAGCACCCTGCTTCACCACTTGAAAGCCCAATTCACTCATGGACTCGTACGGCATGATGACCAGAACACGACGGTGATAAATCTCACGCGCACTTCATTAAAAAATAATAAAAAACCTTGAGGGAAATAAAAACCCCAAAAAATGTCACGAGAAAGATATTTCAAAATGATCTCAAACAAAAAAATTGAAGAGGCGCCTCATGAAATGTTCATTAGCTTCAAAAAAACAACAGGGAATGCAATCACACGTGCGGACTCCATCCAGAAAAAATCCTTGCCAAAATAGAAATATCTGTGGCCTGATCTATCAGGCAATCGACCTGGAAAACAAGAGGAAAAATAAAAAAATTAGCCAATTCCTCAGTTTCGAATGCAACATCGCCTTTCATTTTCAAAATGAATAAACATTCATATGTTTCAAAATCAAAAGGAATTTTAAAAAATATTTAAACGCACGAATTGGGAGTTACTTGCGCGAATTAATCTGACGATTTCTAGTTAAAAAAAAACTAATGCGTAAACAAAATAATTTACGCAGATTCGTTTCCAGGCAACTTCAGGAAACTTGAAATATATTTCAGTCCTCTTCCGGGGTCAGAAATTACTGAATAATTGAATCTATCTAATTTTCAAGAGGAATGACCCAAAGAAATGTATTCCGATGAACTTAAAAACCAGCGATTGTCCAGACATGAATTTTTTTCCGCTGCCATGTTTGTCCTTACTTGATAATTTACGCAAAAACAGAATAATTTACGCGGATTAGTTTCCGGAACGCAGCAGGAAATGTTCAATATTTCGGTAATCTTTACGAAGATCAATAACTACAGTATTTAATCATTGGATCCATCTAATATTCAAGAGGAATAACCCAAAATAAACTTTTGTTCCGGGGAACTGAAAACCCAGCGGTTGTACAGACATGAAATTTTTTTTCGCTGCCGTGTTTGTCCTTCTAACTGAGAACATTAAAACCAATTTAACCTATCATCATGGCTATAAATGACCAACCCTAAAACCAGTCATAACCCCAAATCGAACCTAATTAAAAAAAATTCAACATTTTCCGCATTCTGATTGAGTATTTTAAAGCAATTTTTCATATTTCAGCGAACATAACATACTTGCTCTTCTGCGGAAAGCCCACTCGACGGATAAGCGTTCCTCAAAGCGCTTTTCCTGAACAATACTTTGCAATACGCGGCACAATTCTCCTTGTTATGTTTCCCCATCAATAATTCCTGCCGCGTAATGGACGCCGGATTGGCTCCATTCAATTTATCTCGCACGAAACCCTTGATTTTCTCGGGGTACCACGCCTTTTCCGACTCTCCCGAGCTTTCAATTTCGTCCTCTGATGAATCATAGAAGTAGCGCAATTTTTTATATGGTTGAGGGACACGCGTGACGAAATCACTCACTCGAAAAGATGGCATTGTTTCTGGCCCAATCGAGAGACGGTTCCCACACAAACACCGACATCGTGGCAAGCAGGACTTTCTGGTGTTTTCTCAGCGCAGTCAGGGTTGATATCATCGTGGATTTGAATTTTCCTGCAAACAAAATGAAACCCAAATTCTGAAAATTTCCAAAACTATAAATTCAAGATGGATATAACTAAATCAGAGACAAAAGCCTCCGGCGAAATATACTGTACTCAAATTTATTTTAATATTGCATGGACACTTGAAATAAATAAAGTTTCACGCGAAAAAGTACTAAAGCATGAGACAAAATTTTAAATTATCAACACCAAATATATAAGGTTCCAGCCACAAAAATTATTTCAGTGCACAAATGCGAACAAATAAATTGACTGATTTATATGGAGAACTGATTTATATGGATTTTCTTCCAAAAATACAGTATGTTCAATAAACTTTTCAGCCTTAACCTATTTTGATGAAGCAGCATCAACTTAAGCTGAATAATGATAGGGCATAGAAAATCCGGTACAGTTTAGTTGCAAGTATAAGAACTTCATAATTTTCGTGCTGCTTCAATATTTTTTAAATCAAGTGTTTCAATGTCTTTGAATCAAGTTGTTCATCAAATATTGCTAGATTTTGAATATTGAAAGGGCACAGGAAACCCAGTACATTATACTGTAGTTGTGAGTTCCAATTTCAAATTTGATGCTGCTTCAGAGTTTTAAATCAAGTGTTTTAAATCAAGTGTTTTATTTCCAATGTCTTTAAATCAAGTCGTTGATCAAGGAGTTCCGAGAAGATTTGGAATAATGAAAGGGCAAAGAAAACCCAGGACAATATACGGCAATTTAAAGTCATCACAATTTCAAATTTGATGTTGCTTCAATATTTCGTATCGAATAATGTTCCGAATTTCTTTAATTGAAATTGCTGAGTAAGTGCTACGCCGGGACTTCTATCAAGTATTCAAGTAAGTGATCCCAAGCAGAAAAAAGGTTAAACCACGTATCTCATTATAATCCATGACTTCAGAGACCTATAAAAAAAATTAAAAGCCCCAAAGCGTAACTGCCACCACGTATCAACCGTTGCGGAAAACACCAAATTCTCCAAAGCCAGCGAGTGGAAAATTTTAGATTTACTTCTCATACGAATACAGTATAAACAAAAACAAAAAAATAATAAAAAAATCGTGGATACCTTCAACACCGTAAGGCGCCAAAACCCCGAGAATCCTTGGCGTCAATCGAAACGGAACCAGTTCTGGCACGGACTGATGAATCACGCCGTAACCGAATGACCTTCCGAAATCAATTCCGACAGCGGATCCGTTTCGCGTCGAGATCAGCGTATTGCCCAAATGTCTATCTCCAATGCCGAGCACCCAGTGACACACAGACATCACTGCCCAGCTGACGGCGAAGCGTCGTTTCAACAAATAAAACGACGACGCTGACGAGCGTGCCATGTCTCTGAAAAAATTCCTACAGAAGGAAAACAGTAAATCCAGGTCAACTCGATTCTCGCGAGCATCTGCCGCTAAATTTTCCAAGACGTGCTTCAATTCTAAATTTCGCCTGCGAATCTAACATGAACTACAGTAAAACCTCGTTACAACGAAGCTGTTGGGACCAGGAAAATATCTTAGTTATGATGATAAATTAGTTATGAAGGAACTTGAATAACAATATTGCAATTGGACAGGTACCTGATAAATGACTTTGTTGTAACAAATAATTCATCATGAGATTCGTAGTACGAGAGTCTATTTTGTACAAACTTGCTCCCCAAAATAATAGTAATACTAGACACGGGCTGGACCAAACAAAGCAGCAATTTTGATACAAATGAGTGAAATGACAATAGCTCCTCACATTGAAACAATGAATTGGGATGAAAAACTGCGAAGACCAGTGGCACATTTTAATTTTTTCTCCCTTGAAAAAGTAAACCTTTCGATCAATGAAGTACATATTATGACTACTATGTCATTCAAAAATTGGTGCAGTGAATTTCAGTTCATCAAATTTTCAGTTTTCCTTGTTTAACTTCAAGACATGCTTCCTCAAGTTCAAATAAAATTCAATAAATCATGCTGGATGATCAAATAATCAGACATTAGTTACTTGATAGGATGCAGATTTTAGGAGATCACCCCACAAATTAGTACTTTATTTTCGGATCTGAGAAGTTTGAAATTATAGGATTCATCAGAGAGAAAAATTCAACAATAAGAATCGCGTCTTCAGTAAATGAGATAATTATTTGTAAAAACTCAAGAAATTGTAAAAGAAAAAACTCACCTCAACATGCACGAAGGCAGTGTTGACAGGACCTGGAAAAACTCTTCACACATGTCCGGGTCCATCGGTTCCTTCAGATACATGTTCCTGCATCTAACCATGATGTCTTCTTCTTTTGAGCCGAATTTACGCAAAAATTCTCCGTATTTGCCTTCAGCAGCTCTCCGACTAAGAATGGAGAACGAAGGAAAAAAAAACAAGATGAATAGGCATGCAAACCTTATTAACTTTAATGACTAATTAACCAACATTTCCCGATTATTATCCGCCCTGAAAATCGCTTCGTTGAGAGAAACTGTGTCCTTGACCCACTGTATCATTCCCCATGTTTGCGTCAGCGGAATCACCTTCAAAAAAGACAACAAAAAACAAATTATCTCATTCGGCTTCTTTTGGGAAACCTCAAAAATAAAATAAAATGAGGCATAAAAAATTCGAAATGATGAACGCACTAAGAAACGTAATACAATACATACATTTTTTTCCAAGGTTACTCAGCGTGAATAATAAAGACTGACGTCATTATACATTTCATCTGACTGGAAATTACAGCACATAACAGGGCCAAATTTCTAGCATAAGTCATTTACTGATGAAATACAGTACTAAGTAAAATTAAAATAGCTCACAGCGTAAGTTTCAATCCTGAATGCATCACCAGCGGGATCAAAAGGACATTCCATTTCGAAAACTTCGTTCATGATGCCGAAAAGTTTCTGGATTCTCTCGTCCATTCGGAGATCTTCTCCATATTTTACGAGCCATTTGGTTTCGTTGCCATCCGAACCACGGATCGTCACCGTTTTCGGTGCTCTTAGTGATGTCATCGTTTCAACCTGGAAATTGAATCACGGATACTGTTTAATGTGCAGTATTCAAAAAGGAACTGTTTAGAAAAAATTTCGCAGGATCTGAAGGATTTTTTCAACTTCATCTACCTATATTACAAGGATGGGATCTTTTAGAGCGGGTAGATGTCACTCGTAGTCACGGGCCATGTGATTTTAAATTTACGCGAAGTCGGACGGCAAAAAAACAAAAATCATTGAAAATTATTTGAAACAGAAATGGTAAAACAAAAGAGAAAAATATATTTCGTACCCTGGGTCCAAAGGAAGAAATCGTGACGAAATTCTGGACATCAGGGGCGCCAAACCCCACGTATTGGCCAGGCATTTCAACGCCTTTCCCAACAAAGGAAACACCGGCGAGCCATGGAGAATATTCCGAGAGTGCAATCGGCGATTTTCGAGAGTCATCCATATCTGAAGCCTTTTCGATGTCTTTCACGAGTTGTTTGATTTCCGTTTCCAAACTCAAGCCAGTTGAATTCATGTCTTTCCATGAAATAACAGAGGAGATTATGTCCGAGACTTTCATACGCTTCGCTGCCACATCGAAGTAGGGTCCCCTCAAAGAGAGCTGGAAGAAAAAATCACATTTTGTTCAGGTTTTGCGCTGAACCATGCCAAGACTTCGTGCTGAATTCCAAATGATAACTGCAAATTGAGTGGAGCAAATTGACACGAGATAAATAAAGTTGAAAATGAAAGAATTTCCCGTTTCTCATGACTCCTCAGAGACTTTCCAAATCCTCTTTGGTATAATACAGTACACTTGAACGAAAGGCATTGAAAAAAAATCTGCAATTTTCTATGCCATCAAGATCCGCAAAATATACTTCCCTCGTCCAGAATTCCGAAAAAACGTCCCAAATTAATGGTTATCAAAGAGTTGTGTAGCCCTTATATAAAAAAAATACCCACCTTAAATCATCCTCTTTTTCCCCAACGTACTTTCGAACTTTTGCCAAAAATTCTAGTTCATTCAGTAAAAAGGGCTCTTTCGCAATTGTTCGTTTGAAAACCCCCACGCTCTGCATAAAAAACTACCTTTACCTCATTTCCCTCGAAAAAGAAGAGGGAAAAAAGTTTGCTTTCGTTCCAGCAAGGCGACGTTTCAACTCAGAAATTTTTCGCCCCATAAACGTCGCTCAGGAGCCCAATAAAATTACCCAATCCGGGTCTATTGTACAATGGTTAGTTCACGCGAGGAAAAGCCGACAATTCTCTCCTAGAATACGACCATTATATCCCAGAGTGCTATACATAGAGGCAAGGCAAGCTTCGGCTTAGCTGCGATCTCGCGGCTCAGAACACTCAATTCGTTTCACGGTCGACTCGCACCACAAGAATTCGCGACCGCATAAAATGAAATAAGAACGCTAGAATTTAAAAATCACTCAACCATCAACACGCAACTCACTCCGCTTTCATCATGCGGTTCGCACGGTCCGAAAAAAAACTTTTCTAGATCGTCGGCCAAGTGAAGATATTCGTCGATGTTGGCTTTGGTGGCCCACAGGCGCTTGATGTTATCTTTGAAAGCTTGCAGAACTACCGAAGCGCTGGAAACGAAGCCAAGCGAAGTAACCAGGTCTTCGAGTACGTCATCGGCAACTAATTTCATCAGCCTGGAACAATAAAAATAAAAAAGACTCAAATTTAGGATTTTCTTGAGTGATTTCATCGACAGGATTTCAGGGATTTTTTTTCTCCTTCCACGTTTGATCGTTCCATTTTTATTTTTATCTAGATAGATGTCGCCTCAATCTAATTCAAGTTTCATTACTACTCAGGTGAAAAAAGTTCGTCTAATTTCATTTAGTATTCGAAGGTTTATTACTGTGATGAGTTTTACCGGAATTGCGATATCCTTTTTGGAAATCTGATCATTGGATGAATGGCATTGGACGTAAATTTTGCAGAAAAATATTGAAAGATTTAGTAATTTTGTTCACCCAAGTTGTGATAGAAAGATGACAGCGCGTTGAAAAACTGCATCAATTACTGTGACGAAAAGAGGTTTGCCTCTTATAAAGCTCACACGTTGCGGAAATTTGAAAGTCGCCGCGGTGTTATTCAAATTTTTTTTCCTATTTTATCTTCTCAACAACGTGAGAACTTCCCGGGAGAATAGAACGCACTATTGTGCGAACAATAAAAAAATGTACCTTGAACAAAATTCGTAACATTCGGCATCTTTGAACTGACAGCGAAATTTCCAGGACTCGGCTGAACAGCGTAACGGAAAATATACTGCCTTCGGATAATTTTCCACCAATGTCAGCAATAATGGTCTCAGTGGGGCGGATTCCACCAAATTCAACATTCCTGTCATCTGAGGAATCCAGTGCAAGAACATCCATTCCGGGATTCCGGAAATCTGCAATAAAAGGCACATAGGAAGAAAATTTTACTCTATTATCAGCACATGATTCGCTCGGGAAAGGTGAAATCATACGAGGGATTTTTTTCGCCTGGAAGCTTCAATGGTGGTCCGAAACCAAACTTTCTTTAAATACTTACAGATAATCTCAAGCAAGAACACAAAAACTCACAGAATACAAAAATAAATCTAAAATTATACAAATGATTTCGATGTAAAGGGGGTGGAGGGCATGCAGAGAACGTTCACTTCACTTTACCGTCACAATAAAGACAACAGCATTTCGAATTTTTAAAAGTCGTCGGCACAAAATAAATCATCAAGACGATTACGCTGAAAAATAAAATAAAACAAACTTCGTATTTTTCACTCACATTTTCTGAGAAAACTGCGGCAGTGTCATTAGCATGGTTCACCAGCAACTGCAGCCCGACAGGAATCATTTGCCAGGCATCCTTCGACTCGTTTTTCAGTGCTCGAAGCAAAGATTCCATCGCAGATCTTGCAAGAGGAATTTCGTCTGAAACATGAATTTATTTGACGCAAATGTTTGGGAAAAAAATCACACCAGAAAAAAGTTCGTCGTCCAGTATTCTTATTCTGATGTCGAACTTCATAACGATACATATTTTCCTTCTTTTTCTCGACTATTCCAAAGCTAAGGATTTTCTTTACTCAAAATATTCAAAGTCGTGGTTACGGATAAAAAAAATGGGAGGTGCTCAATCAAAAAAAAATTAATAAAAATTTATAATTTAATCTAGATACAGTATCATAAAATATGCAAGGGGCGACGTCTAACATGTACCTAATCCCATTTAAACATTTTAAAACTGCCTATTGAGGTTTTTCAACAGAATTCTCACCTGTCCGCCATTGCGTCAAGTTCTCGTGACAGAAGTTCAACAGTCGCATTAAGGCTACAACGTCATCCGGCTTCTCGTCGACACACTTTTTCAGTTGCTGCCAGGAACAAAGTAACAAACCATCCAGAATTTTTCGGGGGCTCGACCTACAAAGTTCACCATTCAAACCAATCATCGCTTGTCGAATTAACAATTTTGATGAAACGATTGTGCAACAGCACTGAAGAAGAATCAATGGACAGCATCGTAATTGAGCGATACAAGCCACATTTCATCTCTCAAAAATGGAGCTGAAAAACGCGCGAGGTCTATTTACTCAATATTTTTGAAAATATAAATTGTATTCCTAATATAATTTTTTTAATACTTGAAGATTGTTTTTGTCCCTTCGAATATCGAACTACCACAGCTAATACTCACGTATCGGTGAATCCAAAAGCATCCCCGACATTTCGCCACCAATCTTCGGCAAACGCAGCAAAAACTTCCTCTTTTGTGAGTATTTTTGAAGCAACGAACTGTGCCACAAATGCACGGTAATCCCAATACATCGAGTCATCAGGAACATTATCTGATCAGGCAAAAAAGTACAGTACAACAAAAATGTAAAAATACTCATATAATAAATGAATCTCACTGACCCCACGAAATCCAAGAATCCACAGCTTTTTTAAAAGCATCTTCATCACTCGGCAGAAGTTCAGAATCGGACAACTTCCGCTTGATTTCTAGCAGCCGTACTTCAGCCTTTTCAGCGGAACCTCGAGCCTGAACATGCGAGAAGAATGCGCAAAAAAAAATCAGAGTCGCTTTCGACATAAACCTTTTCGGCACTTTAAAAAACTTACGAAGTCTTCGGCTCGCCTGCGCCATTTCTCAAAGTCCTCCATGTTTCTGCCATCCCCAGCAACTTTCGCCACTTGGAATGCCAAACGAAACTTTGCCTTTTTAGCTTCATCATCCAACTTTTTCGGGAAAGTTTTCTCCACGTGCTTGACGTAGAACAACCTATAAACGATAAATGCACACCGCATTCACGAAAAAAAAATGTATCAAGGTGATTTGACGAGACAGCAGGAAAGAATTTCAAAGCTCAGTTATACTCGCCTGAATGAGACAATGTCATCCCAAATGTCTAGCGAAGCCCCAGCAGCTGGCAGTCCAGAGATACTCGTTTCAGAGGATGCCCAATGCGACAAAAGGGATTTGTACAGCGACAACTGCTTCCAATCTGGCTCGGTGCAAATCTCCAATATAGTCTTGAATATAAAAAAAAATTAGTTGAAATTTCCTCTTTAAAAAATTGCACAAAATGTGAACAAATATGCCTGTCTACTCAGAGATTGTAAAAAATAGAGACGCCATAAAGATTTTGAAAAATTATTGAAGTATTAGTAGAGTATAAATTGTCTGAGGATGATTCGTCAACTTCTTTTCACTTTCAACCATTGTTCCAAGCAACCCTTAATTTACTTCACCAATTGAGAAAGCAAAAAATTCGACTTGACTCAAGAGCTCAACACGTCCATTTCTTTGTGCATTAATTGGCTTTGTGTTCAAATTATCACCTTGAGCAAAAATATTTGAATAGAATGGAATCGTTTGTGATAACGTTTCTCATCTCTAAAGCATGAGACGTCAAGGGGTACACGAGTTAAATTCTTTTTGTTAATCTTAATTATTTTTAAAGACGCGATTTATATTAATAAATTTTTACTTGACACAGCAGCTAATATTAGCATAATATTGAAAGTCTATGTCTATGAATTATGTTAACTTGAAAAGCTTCGGGATAAAAGCCAATTAAGTTAGAAAATGTTTGACCAAGGTCCCGGGTTCTGAAGAAAAATATTCTGTAGTTGTCTCATAAATCACATCCCGTAGTACTCAAAATGTTATTTCTTCTTAATTACCAAAATTGCATTCATGAATGCTATAAGAGTTTGTCGTAAATATGAATGGAACATAAAATTTGTTTTTCTGAATTTCTCCACTGATACGTCGACTCGGAAAAATTCAAAATTTATCTTGATTGTAGTACATTTAAATTGATGACAGTACTTTTAAATCGACCAGTCGGTGAAGATCCAGGATTCGTTCTCTTCGATCGCTGGTAGCAACCGCCCATTGAGCCGCCAATCCTCCAAGAGCTCGTTTGTCAATCAATCTTCGGGCAACCACAAAATTTTTGTGCTTGAACTCAATCAGCGCCATTTCGAATGCGAAACCCACTTCGAGAATTTCTCTTCTTTCCTAAAGACATAAAACAGAACAGCAGGTGATGTTATAAACATGATAAGAGTAAAACCCTGCAATACTAAACAATTCTTGCATCGTGAATTGCTGTACGAGAAGTCAAGAACTTCAAGTTATATACTCACGCTCGAATCTGGCCCATTTTCCGCATCTTTCACGAAATCGAACAATATCTTGAATTCACCGATTAATTTACTCTCGGGACCGTCCTGCAGTAAGACTTTTTTCAGCGACGTCCTGAACAGCATCGGGAGATATCTATCCAGAAACTCGGGGACGTCCCAGACCCAATTCAAATTATTCCCTCTGGACTTGCAGAGACCGGCAACACTCCCGGTGGTTACAGCGCACTGAAAAAAAATTCCGACGAAAATAAAATTGTAAGAAGACTCTTCCACAGGATCCTACTTACGTGATCAGAGAAACTGCTCAAAACCCCGGCTTCGTCTTTCGTTACCAAACCTTTTCCTTGCAAAATTTCCTTTTGATATTTTTTGAAATCGGCGAAGTTTTTTGCGAGACGGCTAACTTGGCGCAGCCTTTTAAATAGACACTGAAACTAGTATAAGTCCTAAGGAAACGTTTGAAGGCCGAGAAAGTTCGACAGCATATTAGACTTTTTAATCCTCTTTTTCGTGCTTATTAAAATAGATTTCTTTTCTTGTGATTAGGACTTCGTTGTTCTCTGTCTGGAACATCTGGTAGGTGTCACTTGAATCGCTCAACTGATCTATCAGAACCAAACTTCACTCCAGTTGAAAGATAACCCGACTAAAATTTGAAGTTCAATAGACACTTTGGTATACTCGGGAAGAAATTCTCGAGCTCAGGAGAGGCTGGAGAAACCAGAAAAAAATTACCCTACTCTGCGAAATCCCTCAGGGTAAAAAATTAAAATCTTGACAAAATTTACGTCGAATTAATAAGAGGACGAATAAAAAATTCGACTCATTTTTATTAAAAGCACATGAAAAAATAAAATATACGCACTCCAGTAGACAGAGCCAGATCAGCTTTCCCGTCTTCGTCTTCGGAGAATCTATCTCGAAGTCGTATTCCTTGAAATGCCACGAAATAGGCAACTTTGAGATCAACGCTTCTTCAAGTGCAGCTGCAGCAGCGAACTGTTCTCCAGTGCTATTTGAGCCTAGGAAAAACCATCAAAATGATAATCTCGTCGCAAATAAACAATTTGGCAAACATTTTCCCGACTCACATCGCACTAGCTGTCCGGAGTCCACGTCTATTTTTCCATTAACGGACCATAAAACGTCACAGATTGATGCAACAACTGGAGCATGCGGTAATGTGGACGATTTCAGAACGAGGTCAACCCCTGCGCCAAATTTTTTCAAAAAGTCTTTCATTTTCGTTTCTCTGGCGATTCCACTGATGATGGCCGAGAAAAGTGTTTTTGCCACAACTCCATCCAACTGAAACCACCAGACAT